GATGAGCGCCGTGTTGGCACACTTGGTCACACTAATCACCAAATCGACACCTGCCAATCTTTCCAACCCATTTACCATGTACCTGGACACCTTTCACGAGCGGTAGGATGCCGCTTACTGGCAGCAGCTGAGGCAATTGCTCAAAAACGGTTCGTTCAGATTCTATTGTTTTTATCCTGTAATATACGTTTGATCTACTCTCACTGCTAATTTCCTTGTGTGATTGAACCACTGAAAACTAGCGTTCACCTTCGGTTCTGGGTTCTCCTTTCTTTCTTGCTTCTAGACACCGTAATGAACATCACACTAGTCCGACTTACTTAAATTCACAGAACTTATTACTCGATTTGTCTTTGAAGTTCTGGGCAACAATCAGCTTATCATATTCATTCTGATAGACCCACTTTCGTTTTGCGTTTTGCTCCGTTTCCGGTCTAATTCGTCCTTCATCCGTTTAGGATCACCAATCTTATTTCACCACCTGGTTCCTCATTTTCTCATGCTTTCCGCTTGATATTTCTCGGAGTGATGTCGATAGTGTCCTCTCGTGATCGCGCTCCACTTGTGAGACATAAACCGCGCGGTTTACGCATTACTTTCCCTCTTTCGTTTTGCTCCGATTTTATGCCGTCATCAAACGGTTTTATGGCTCACTCCATCCGGTCATTCGCAAACACATGTGTTGCGGGAGTTGAAATGTTGTGTCCCTATCTGAAACACTATAGTTTCTTCCAAGGGCTCTGCTAAGGCTTTCACTTTGTATGATTTCGGAGGCAATTCTGTTGTTTTACTGGTCTTTCGGGTAATGTCCCGTTGGACAGATAGGTGAATCGCACAATAGGCAATCTTGTTCGCAGTTTTAACTTCGATGATAATGTTGATGTGTCTCAGGTCACCGCTTCTAGCTTACGTGGTTACGAGTGGTATCGCAGTGCGTCTGTGATTGCCGCATAACTGAAACATCTACTTGGCGTTCAGACATGCTGCTGAGTCCACTACCTGTCTGAAGCGCCCTCCGTGGATAGCGCTAGATTTCCTTTTGATTGTGGACAACTTATTATTGCGGTGTCGCAAAGATAATAGCTTTCCCAGGCCAAACGTTTCCAAAACTGGGTGGCCGACAGTTCATCTGTGGCATTACTAAAAGATAGCCGTTTATACTCTGAATTTTAATACCCTCATTTCTAGCTTTTCGTACTGATTATGAGCTTCTCGGGAGACTGAGCTAGTATGCTATCTTCAAACGGGTAAATCAATAACAACATTAAAATGTTTTTTTCTCTAAGCACCAGAGCATTGCGCCAGCGGGCGTCTCAAAATAAAAACCCGATTAAACGTCTCTCCCACCTAACGGTGCGAATGAACCTCATTTAAACAAGCATACGCTTTAGGAATTTGGGCGAATCGGACGAACTCTGAGGCCACTAACCTCCCGGAAATGCGCTGCTTACTACCGGTGCATTATCTGAGTTTTCGGTGCATACTCGACTTTTTAATGCTGCAGTTTCTTCGAGATCGTCATCTTTTCTCGCGCATGCTGTTGTCCAGCGATCCCTTGAGAGTACGGTTCGTTAAGGCGACTCTGCCATTTCCTACGACTCCTGCTTGCATTGTGATTGGGAGTGCGCGTAGTTCCCCGTCGTGCGTCCTCTGCTTTTTTCCTTTCTTGATTTGTAGCTCACTCGCAGGTATTCATCACTCATATAGGCTCTACTACCGTTTCTTTCAGCGGCGAAATCTTGCTTCTCCGGTCATGGTCTTCAGGCTGACCTGGACGAAAGTTCATCGTTTGTGTTTCCGGTTTTCTCCTTTTTCCTTCCGGTTTTCTCCTGCTTGTCGTGTATACCTTCAAGAGCGTCTTCTACCGTGTGTCTGAGTTCACGGTTTCGTATGTTCTGTACTGTTGCTGTGTACACCTTGAGTCACGCTTGAGTGCATCAATTCTCGTTTTTGTGAAGATTCGTCGCAACTGGACTCAGCTGCACAGTCGCCACACATTCAGAAAAGCGCTAAACAGCCTGTTGGGACCCGCCAGTAGCGCGCATTCGTCAATCTTCTCGGATTCGAACCCACGACCTTACTCTTCCGAGTTAGCGATTAGTGCCACTGAGCCATGAGTGACGCTGGCTGACCGCCATGACTGATATCTAACTGCGATATAACACGGCTCATCCTCCACTGTCATGGTATGAATTTGCAAAGAACAAGGCTGGCCCCTAGAGCTACGACTTCCTTTACAGGCCGCCACCAATTCAGGTGGCATGTAAGCTGCTAAAATGATAACTGCTTATTCGGGAGTAGTATCGGGCGGTTATTGTGCTTTTTGTCTATCTGGTCAGCGCATACCTTTCATCCGCTGACGTCCGTTCCAGCCAGTTCGCTTCGCTATTGTTCGTGACAATACTGTGCTTTATTCCCTCTGTCCGAAGCCAATTCTGCTTTTCTCTTTGGTTCCTCCATGTCTGATCCGTTTGCGTCGGCAGCGACGGATTTGCTTCCTACTTGCCTACACGACGCTAGTCATCTTCGTTCAGCCAACCGGATGTGACCACACTGTTACCATGGCTGATGTGCTTGAGTACTCGGTCTGGATGCAAACTTCATTTGACCGCAGGTACGGTGATGACAGCACAAGTATGCGGTAGCTTCAGTCGCACGACAATAATACTGCGAAATGTACGAGCGATAAGATTGGAAGAGTTGAGATCGAAAGATCCAAACAATCTCCAGATAAAAACCAGCATTTGCGTGCCGAATTTGAATTCACGACTACTTCCTGACCGCTGACGTTGTCGATCAGCCAAATCTCATCAAGCAGATCGACACATGCGCCATGTTTCATTGCCACCTCGTCATCTGGCTGCATGGGGCCAAATCGCGACGATTTGTCCACGGTTGTGAGGAGTGCCATTTTCAACTAGCCGTCCGTCACTGTACCAAATAACACTTTTCCGTCGTTTCATCAGTTCGCATCATCATAGTTGATTCAGGGTTTTCGTCAGATGTAAGCATCACTTCGCATTCGCCTTTCCGACACTCATTTCTTCGCTCCATACGGTGGAGTGGACTTTATCGTAGCTTCGTACCGCCCACCATTTACCGATTAGCAAATATGTCATTATGTTCACTGTTTACTGAAGAGCCTTATCAGCCTTAACAACATATGTAATTCACTCTTTGGTGGTTTAAACGCCAACCTCTGTGTAGTTAGTCAAACTGTCGATCCACTGCTTTCTCACTCATTTGTAAACCAATGGAGCATTGGCCCGTCCATACACTGTACGCTGTACACAGTATATACCGAAGCCTGTAGCGTTCTTTGTCAATCATTCCAGGTAGAGTTGCATGCGTTTAGAGGGAGTATGGCGTTTTCGCTTGACACTCATCTGGCGATATGTTCGCTCTACTTGCAACAAGTAGAACGCTGCGATTCGTAGCCATTTCACATTCACAGCTGACCTGAGGTATCACCATTGGCTTAGTTTATGCGTCGAACAGTCTCCTTATTTGAAACCTATCGTGCGAATGTAGTTTTCATTGATTTGACAATTATATGCATATATATATATATATATAGAGAGAGAGAGAGAGAGAAAGAGAGAGACAGAGAGAGAGGTTGTCCCATGCTGAGGCTGATGTTGCATTCTTGATGCTTCTTCACTGCAGTTGGGCTAAACCAACTTACACTTAAACTAGGTCTTTTTAAGCTGGATAAATTTCATTCCACTTTATTTGGTTTGTTCTGCCTACCTGAATAATGTTCTATTAACTGGCCACGTTGCTTACGCTAATTGGGCTTATCTTCGGTAACTGTTGTGTTTGTAGCATTTTCAAGTAACTTGCGGACATTTCTTACTTATCGCGGATTCGTTGCTAACCAACTTACTTCGGATGATTATTTAGCTTAGCGTTATGCCACTGTATCTGTATGCAGTATTGGATTTGTTTTATTTCATCTTGTCGTTCCAGGCGATTGGCTGTTGCTTCATATCCCCGGTGTGGCTGTGTTTGATGTGCATGTTTACAAGGTGCCTACCTGTCTATTACCCACCACCTCGTTCATACTGACTTCAGAAGACAGTTGGTCGTTGCTAGAGGGGACGGGGTGCACGGTCCTTGTGGCCGTGCTAGGCTCAAAGAGCGGTTCCATGCACTCAGTGTGGAGCGGACTACGGTCCAGCCACCGCCTTGTGTGCGCTTGATTCCCCAAATACAGTGTGCTTGTGTTTGCCTATGAAGGAGTGTGGACCAGCTCCGTTGATGAAACTTGTCTCCCATCCACAAGCCTCCCGGTCTTATTCCTTCGGTTTTACACTGGATATGGGGTGTGCGGGTGGTGCTGTGGGTGGTGCAGCACAAGCCACCCATGGCCATTCTGTTGGCACAGGCGTTTTGTGACTGGCCACAGTGACAGGCAAATCCGAAACCGGATGCCGCCAACCATATATATATAGATATATATATTCTTGCATGGAATTATAAGCAGGGTTTTGCATGTAAATGATTTTGTCCGGTAGCTCCCCCTGAACAAAGAAACCTACAATTTGATTTGGATTTCTTTCACTAGTTTCAAGTCAGCTATCTGTGTCCATTACTTAATTCGGTGTTGCTCTCCATCAGTCTACTAATGAACAGGACAATTTATGATGAGGCTTTACGAATTAATCCCAACAATTTGCTAACCATATTTTCTAATCACTAATCCGGTGAGACACCAGACGATTTTTTCACCCTATTGCAGCTCCTCAATGTGACGCATTCCCCTCAGTCCTTTTTAGGGAACCGTATCCTTGACCGTTAGCAAGTTGCTCTAACTAGCCAGAAATTTTTGCTACTGAACTGTAGTGGACAGTCGCATATCTACATAACTTGCTACAAGCTAACTGGGACTAGACTACCCGGTTTTGAGCTGCTGGGACGAACCAGTAAAATTTCACAACCATTTTATTTAACAACATTCTCCCCACTTTACTAATTCCCTTCTTATTCTTTCTAATCAGTCCGCTTGGTCAGCTGATTTTGACCATGGACCCCCATTTCGCTCAGTATCGGTTCCTTCACATCCTCAGCGTCCACCATCTGCAATTAACGCCCTCGGTTCTGGTGCCTCATTTGTCTTTGACAAAGGTCACCATCGCACATGGAGTGCGGATGTGGATTATACCTTTCGATCGACCCAGACCACGGCTTTCCCCACGTTTTCATCAAACTGCGATCCTGATCATACAAATCGGGTATGTGAGCGGTGTACTATGTCACTCCTGATTTTTTTTCCCATATTAGATAATGTCTGCATGTTTTGTGAACCCAGTCACCTGGTAATCAAATCAGGAACAATTTTCGTGCCTAAATTGGTCTGACCATTAAGTCCCCGAAATTGTTGAGTTGCTAGGCGGGAATCAACTAATCTCAGTTTATTGCTGAGAGTGGAATGTGATGAATAATCTCAGTTTCTTTTATTGCCTTTTCGTTTCGATGTGTGTTGTTCGTTCAATACTTCTCCTTGTTGGATCCAATCCCAGAGTGACTATTCAACTTCATGAGCTTGAAACAGCTGACAGAAACACTAAATTGGGTTGTCAATCTCCTGCTCGTCATCTTCGGGATTGGTTTCACCTCCGGAAGATTTTTCACGGTCACAGAGTCACTTGACACGTGTTCGCATTTCAAATTCTTAACTCACTCCTCTGCATTTTTAGTGTCTGAATTCCTATCTATAAATGAATAAATATAACTAAATCAATAAATATTCGCCCGTTCTAGCGATCGATTGCACTCACCAAGGGTACGGGTCTACATCGTTTGTGCTACTATTATTACTACTATGCCCTACAGGGGTATAAGTTTGGTTTCGTTTTCAAGCTTCCAGTGTTTATCAATCTTCGGAGGCTATCCCCAACGCTCCAATCGCTTCAGCGTGAACAATAGACTGGGTTCCGCTTTGATTGTGGCTACATCGATCAATTTTTCATACTACGAGATCTTCGAGCTCCTGCATGTGTGTGTACCTAGATATCTATGTTGCCTTCGATTCTGTTCACAGGACTGTATTGTGGCACTGCTTTTTGAGGAATAGCGTCCCCGGGAAGTTCGTTTGCCCACTGTATGCCATGTTGACATGCCGTCCAGCTTGCACATAACCGCTTGCCGATTAAAACTTGCAAATTGTGCCCTCCTGAGTGCAAAGCTCTTTCTCAAGACTGACAGATGCCTGTATCCGCCCCTCATTGATGGCGAGATTCTGGAGGTGTTTGCTATCTAAAAGCTCTATTTCTCCATTTTTTTCGACCTCACGATCGAAGTTGTCCTCTTGGAAGCTTTATAAGGCTTTCAGAATTCTGCAAGTGAGCTGCTTCAAGATAATCGTGCAACCGACTTTGATGTGGCTGGACTTTCCCCTGGTGCGATGGTTTGTGTGTCTCAGTGATCCATTGAGCTGTGCTGGGTGGTGCTTTTAACACCTTTAGGGCCATTCATACCAGATTAGTCAATGGTTAGAGGCCAGACAAACTCAGCCTCCTGGTCCTCCAGTTTGGGGGTCGGAGTGAGTATGTCTTCTTATTCCTTAAAACAGACTCCTTGTAGCCTGCTGCCTTGCGGTCGGTACTTTAAACTAAAGGCTTTGGCTGCGAACCCTAATCGTTCTCCTGTCTATGCTTGGACAACCTAAAAGTATCCTGCTCGCGCAGTGCAACTCTACCAACCTCTCTCCACACTATTTCTTGATGCTCTGACCGTTGCTGATGATAATGCATGTTACCCTATCTGCTGCATCGAGCACGGCGATTAGGTGTCTGGATGCTACTGCTCAGGCGTTCCCACTACTTAGAAAGTGTGTAGCTGCTCCCAGATGAACGACTTCTTGACTTGGAGTATACTGATGATATTGCCCTAATTTATGACAGCTCGCAAACATGCCAAGCCACACTGGACAGATTAGCATTAACTGTCAGCCGTTTCGTGCAATGCTTTGCACCCTCAAAGTGTAAAGCTTTCCTCTAAGATTGGTAGGGACCGCCTCCTGCGCTGACCCTTGGTGGGGATCAGCTGAAAGTTGTAAAAAGTTTAACAGCCGCAGTTAGTCTGTGAAGAACGATAGAATCAAGTAATTTGGAGGTGATGGGATCAGACTGATTCCTCTATGGTTGCCGCATTCAGAACGGGAGCCTCCCTTGAATATTGGGACTATGACGGAGCGGCTCCAGTCTGTTGGGTCAGTTTCCTGCTACCAAGTTTCCATTAGCAGCTCGTGTAAATCATCCACAAGAGCAAGTCCCTCGAATTTGTAGAAAGCTGGGGGAACTCTTTCTTCACCAGTGGCCTTATGCACTTTCAGAAGTCTGATCTCACATTCGGCTTTGCGTGTGAGGGGGATCCAAGGAGACGACCCATGGAGAAGGGCACTCAAACCCCGAAAGCGAAAGCGATAACAGGTTGAATAAACTACCTTGCAAATTTTTCAGCCTAACGCTCCAGGTTTTACGTTGATAAGCACTCATGCATTATCAAGCCATGCATTATCCATCCACGCAATCCATGCATTATCAATCCAAGTAATTAATTAATTACTTAATTAATTGCGTGTTACATGGATTGATTGATTCACTCATACATTATCACTCGATCCATATACAGAACAATTAATTAGTTAATTAAGTAACGTTTGTTCGCAGCATTGTGAAGTCCGCCCACCAAGGCACTATCAGCGAACTGCTGTATAATGCAAGACGTTGAACACAGGTTAATTAAGAAAATGTACGGACAACAAACCAATTTTGCGATAAGTTAGGAAGAATGAATTGATCGAGTAATACCAGGAATATAGTCTACAGGTTAAAGCATTGGGTAAGCCAATAGTATAGGGAAGAAATAAGGTACTAAAACTACAAGAGCCACAACAAATACAAGGTAAATGATTGAGCACCTCGAACACTTTAATGAGAATATAGCAGATCTTGAAAAATCCCTCCACTCTCCAACTTTGTTGTACCAATTGCTCAGGCTGCTATTTTACCTGTGTTTCGCATGTAGAGAAATATAGTGCTTATTTATTTTTTTATTTATTAACCGTCATCCGAGAGACTGTCTTCTGTGGACCTAATTCCATACGTACTAATCGCTCGAGATGTTCCACCCGCACTTCCACACCCCCATCTGATTGTGTGTCGGTGCAACTTAAAAACAAGCTAGCCACTACCGAGTTTAGTTACCATCCGTGTTCCTTGTTTTCGTTAATTGGCCGCTCAGGCCAGTCAGCCCGTTCTCCAAACACTGATTTTGTTGGGCATGACAACCTCCTTCCCTTGATTTGGCGGTACGTAGCCCTGACTTTACTATCAGCTGTTAGGAGTGTACTGCTGTCTTTGCTTTCTCATAGGTCTAACACACATTTTTACTGTTCAAAAATGGATGTTTGGCTATCCGCATTGCGTGGGAAAACATTCTGGTTGGATGCTTCAAACCATTACTTTTGAAGATAGGTGCAGTTATGACCAACGAAAAAAACCCAAGAACAAAATGAAATAGCAGAAATCAAGAGCACATTAATAACAATGTAGCTATTAAACTAATAGCATGTTTCACGACAGTTCAAGAGAGAATTGTTTCAGTTCGTATCCTAAGTAGTTACATTATTTACGAGAAAACAGGCTGTTTTTTAAGTTATCAAGGTGAATGACAATCCCAAAGCCAACCTTCACATCGGTCAAACAGTTTTAGACACCAGAAAAGCGGAGAGACTAACGTGCTTACTGAGGTGAAAATTGGTGAATTGTTCGACTGGGTTCCCATCGAAAGTTAGATCCAACAAGATTCATACCAAATGGTTAACGATAATAGACACTGCGTAGGGCCGGAATCAGATTCAGCATGAACAGCGCAGCGCATCTCCGAACCAGTGCATCAAAGGAGAAGAAAACACTATTGGTTAGACGAGAACGGATGAACTTCTAATTGATTGGAGCGAAAAGCAATTGGTAGCAATAAGTTGGTTTGCAAATACATGCCAAAAGTTTATGCACGCGTTAATAAATTTACAGTCTTGAGACATTAAAGGGATGTGACAATGTTACATGTATCCAGTACGTTATTATTATTTTTCATCTGGAGTCATCTTTCGGCCGTGTTGACAATATATTTGCAGTAGTCAGGTAAAGATTGCTCTTGCATTTGAATTACGGATAGCTACTACAGTTTCTGATATTCGACGGAAGTTCATTTCCTAATTACGCCTATTTCACTGTGTAGAGATTTGAACGGAGAATGTTACCAGATGTTTGTATGTACAGGAAGTTCTCATTGTTTCCTAGTTCTTAGTACTTATGATACTGAAACCCGAACTGAGGCTAGGCTTTAACTCCTAATCCAAATATTAAGCGGTAGCGAATAAATAGATTAAATTTGAGTCTGTGAAGCCACAGCGGCTCGAGTCTTAGAGCATTGTAGCACGCACGGCAAGTCACAAAGTTAGGCATGCTTAAAAAAGTCTTTGCGCAAGATCGCTGGATGTTTACCAGAGCTGTGATGTCCACTTTTCTCAGTTTTCCATATATTATCGGTCAGATGCTCTGATGGAATACCTGGAAAGCCACAATTTAATAGCCCCAAAGCAACATGGCTTTCGTCCAAAGCATTCGTGTAATACTAACCTATTAATTGCACGTATTAGCTGGACTGAAGCTGTTGATGATGGAGTAGGGGTCGATGTCATCTACCTGGACTTTTCAAAAGCATTTGATCGCTTAAACCATCGCGTTCTCCTTCAGAAGCTTCAGAATTACGGCATTGGTGACCCAATCCTGAGTTGGATTGACAATTTTCTACAAGAACGACAGTTAGTGGTGAGAGTCCGAGAATCATTGTCTGATGCAATCGATGTGGCGTGTGGAGAACCACAAGGCTCGGTTCTTGGACAAATGTCGCGTCGTACAATTACGCCATAGACATAACTACACCTATTCACTTGGGACCAACGGACTTCAGAATAGCTCCCAGGAACTTCACCTTGGTGTGATCGTACAGAGCGACCTCAACTGTTCAAAACAGGCTGAGGTAGCTGCGAAAAGAGGCAACCAACAAGTCGGCATGCTGCGAAGGGCATTCGGGAGATTTGACCTATCAATCTTCCCAATGATGCACAATTTCTACGTGCGCGCGCATGTTGAATACGCTATCCAAGCTTGGCAACCTTGGTTGAAGCGTGACCTAGAAGCGATAGAGGCACCACAACGAAGAG